AAAGACTTTCAAGTCGGATAAGGATGGGCGTAAAATATTGTGAAGAAAAGATGGAGAAAGGTATACGAATTGCAACCTTCTGCCTTGTAGGATCAGTGATTGTATTGATTTCGGAATCAATTATTGAGCCTGTCAAACTCTGCCTTTATTAAAATTAACATAAAATAATGTTTAATTTTTTTAGAATATTAAAATGCTGTCTAGAACATACGGTGAAGTGATGTTATTGTTTTGTGGTTAGAAATTGTCATAATTTCTTTCTATTCAACATGTTTATTCACTTCACTTTAATTTTTCATTAACAAATTTATTTAACTGCTTTCGAACTTGATTGACATATTATATTTACGCCCATCTTCAATTAATTTAAAGTTTCCCTGATTCTAAAGGTCATGAAAGTTAAAATCGTTCCATAGCATTCGTCACATTCTTTTTACTATCATACAGCCCACTGAATATTGAACCTTATAACAACCGTCGTAAAATAGATAATTAATGGAAGTTCAAACGACAAAAAGTCGCCCATTTCAAGAAATATTATGTTGACAGTGTAATTTTTTACATGTTTTACTTGTTTATTACTGTAAAACTGTAATTTAATAATACATTATATTATTAAATTACAAAACAAGAATGTTGTATATTTGTTTATTACCTACTTAATAAAAAATGTTGCTGCCATCGTATTACCGCTGTACCGCATGATATTTCCCGATTCGACTATGAGGTTTATTGTCATATCTATTAATTATGATTTAAAGAACTTTAAACTTAACATGTGGTATATAATTAATTATTAGATATAAATATTGAATATAAAACAACATATTTGTATAATAAATAAATTAATTGTAATAAAAAATAGTATTGTTTTATTTACCAACTCATTTGCTTCTTTTATAGCCTGATTTATATTTTATGACAAAAAACAAAAAAAAAAATAAGAAAAATAACAAGGTAAAATAAAATTAACTTTTAGCTGGAATAGAACCCACATCATTGATCCTTGAAAGACGATAAAAGCGTGGTCATTAACCAATCGACCACGAGCACTACGATAATGACAGTGAAAATGTCGGGTCATATCAATGATTGTAAATAGTTTTAACCTTACCTATGCATTAAATTATAAAAATACGTATACCGACACAAGAATGAAAATACCAATGTGAACGTGGTGGACGAATATTTTTATATACAGTTATATGAAATTACGCACACATGTACACTGTGTAAATGACAGTTGTGTCGATGTGTAGCGCTGCAACTAATTAGCGGTGCTTTGTGTACATACATTGAAATTCAATGTGCCTCTGACTAGTCCGTGATCGCTACCGGTTTTTAACCTTGTGCATTACAGAGTCATCGTTATATATCTGTCGTTTTGTGGTCATAATGAAGCCGATCTCATTCTTCATGAAACCGTCCAAACTCATCCATTCATTTCCTGTGACACAGCTTCTGGAAAAATGGGAATTATTAGGAAAAATAATGGTGTATCATAGTGATAGAGTATGTATTGTATGGTTCTAGACTTTGGCGATGCCGCAGCGCGGAGCTGCACGGGCTGCCTCGCTCGTGGCTGCAGCAACTGATGCACACCATTGCAGGCGCTACTACTCCACCCACGCGGAGGAGTGCTGGGATACCATTCATTATACAGGTTGCTACCGCTTTTCGGACTGACTTACTGACTGGCATCAGTTAGTGTTCAATAAACTATCGTATGTCCTGTTTACAGGCGCTGGTGACGACTGAAATGGGTGTACAGGACAGCGGACTGTGCTTCCACTACGTCATGCAGGAGCTGGTGCAGGTGGTGGGGGGGGCGCGTGACGTCACGAGCGGCGCGCGCACGCACGCGCTGCACGTACTGCGCGCACTCGTGCGGCACAGCGCCCTCGCGCAGCGCGCCGCCCCGCTACTGCAGCACGCACTCGTCGCCGCGCTGCGGGCATTCGATGCACGCTCCTGGCCCGTAACTATACCATACTCTTTACACACAGCGCCCTCGCGCAGCGCGCCGCCCCGCTACTGCAGCACGCACTCGTCGCCGCGCTGCGGGCATTCGATGCACGCTCCTGGCCCGTAACTATACCATACTCTTTACACACAGCGCCCTCGCGCAGCGCGCCGCCCCGCTACTGCAGCACGCACTCGTCGCCGCGCTGCGGGCATTCGATGCACGCTCCTGGCCCGTAACTATACCATACTCTTTACACACAGCGCCCTCGCGCAGCGCGCCGCCCCGCTACTGCAGCACGCACTCGTCGCCGCGCTGCGGGCATTCGATGCACGCTCCTGGCCCGTAACTATACCATACTCTTTACACACAGCGCCCTCGCGCAGCGCGCCGCCCCGCTACTGCAGCACGCACTCGTCGCCGCGCTGCGGGCATTCGATGCACGCTCCTGGCCCGTAACTATACCATACTCTTTACACACAGCGCCCTCGCGCAGCGCGCCGCCCCGCTACTGCAGCACGCACTCGTCGCCGCGCTGCGGGCATTCGATGCACGCTCCTGGCCCGTAACTATACCATACTCTTTACACACAGCGCCCTCGCGCAGCGCGCCGCCCCGCTACTGCAGCACGCACTCGTCGCCGCGCTGCGGGCATTCGATGCACGCTCCTGGCCCGTAACTATACCATACTCTTTACACACAGCGCCCTCGCGCAGCGCGCCGCCCCGCTACTGCAGCACGCACTCGTCGCCGCGCTGCGGGCATTCGATGCACGCTCCTGGCCCGTAACTATCTTACTCTTACACACAGCGCCCTCGCGCAGCGCGCCGCCCCCGCTACTGCAGCACGCACTCGTCGCCGCGCTGCGGGCATTCGATGCACGCTCCTGGCCCGTAACTATACCATACTCTTTACACACAGCGCCCTCGCGCAGCGCGCCGCCCCCGCTACTGCAGCACGCACTCGTCGCCGCGCTGCGGGCATTCGATGCACGCTCCTGGCCCGTAACTATACCATACTCTTTACACACAGCGCCCTCGCGCAGCGCGCCGCCCCGCTACTGCAGCACGCACTCGTCGCCGCGCTGCGGGCATTCGATGCACGCTCCTGGCCCGTAACTATACCATACTCTTTACACACAGCGCCCTCGCGCAGCGCGCCGCCCCGCTACTGCAGCACGCACTCGTCGCCGCGCTGCGGGCATTCGATGCACGCTCCTGGCCCGTAACTATACCATACTCTTTACACACAGCGCCCTCGCGCAGCGCGCCGCCCCGCTACTGCAGCACGCACTCGTCGCCGCGCTGCGGGCATTCGATGCACGCTCCTGGCCCGTAACTATACCATACTCTTTACACACAGCGCCCTCGCGCAGCGCGCCGCCCCGCTACTGCAGCACGCACTCGTCGCCGCGCTGCGGGCATTCGATGCACGCTCCTGGCCCGTAACTATACCATACTCTTTACACACAGCGCCCTCGCGCAGCGCGCCGCCCCGCTACTGCAGCACGCACTCGTCGCCGCGCTGCGGGCATTCGATGCACGCTCCTGGCCCGTAACTATACCATACTCTTTACACACAGCGCCCTCGCGCAGCGCGCCGCCCCGCTACTGCAGCACGCACTCGTCGCCGCGCTGCGGGCATTCGATGCACGCTCCTGGCCCGTAACTATACCATACTCTTTACACACAGCGCCCTCGCGCAGCGCGCCGCCCCGCTACTGCAGCACGCACTCGTCGCCGCGCTGCGGGCATTCGATGCACGCTCCTGGCCCGTAACTATACCATACTCTTTACACACAGCGCCCTCGCGCAGCGCGCCGCCCCGCTACTGCAGCACGCACTCGTCGCCGCGCTGCGGGCATTCGATGCACGCTCCTGGCCCGTAACTATACCATACTCTTTACACACAGCGCCCTCGCGCAGCGCGCCGCCCCGCTACTGCAGCACGCACTCGTCGCCGCGCTGCGGGCATTCGATGCACGCTCCTGGCCCGTAACTATACCATACTCTTTACACACAGCGCCCTCGCGCAGCGCGCCGCCCCGCTACTGCAGCACGCACTCGTCGCCGCGCTGCGGGCATTCGATGCACGCTCCTGGCCCGTAACTATACCATACTCTTTACACACAGCGCCCTCGCGCAGCGCGCCGCCCCGCTACTGCAGCACGCACTCGTCGCCGCGCTGCGGGCATTCGATGCACGCTCCTGGCCCGTAACTATACCATACTCTTTACACACAGCGCCCTCGCGCAGCGCGCCGCCCCGCTACTGCAGCACGCACTCGTCGCCGCGCTGCGGGCATTCGATGCACGCTCCTGGCCCGTAACTATACCATACTCTTTACACACAGCGCCCTCGCGCAGCGCGCCGCCCCGCTACTGCAGCACGCACTCGTCGCCGCGCTGCGGGCATTCGATGCACGCTCCTGGCCCGTAACTATACCATACTCTTTACACACAGCGCCCTCGCGCAGCGCGCCGCCCCGCTACTGCAGCACGCACTCGTCGCCGCGCTGCGGCATTCGATGCACGCTCCTGGCCCGTAACTATACCATACTCTTTACACACAGCGCCCTCGCGCAGCGCGCCGCCCCGCTACTGCAGCACGCACTCGTCGCCGCGCTGCGGGCATTCGATGCACGCTCCTGGCCCGTAACTATACCATACTCTTTACACACAGCGCCCTCGCGCAGCGCGCCGCCCCGCTACTGTTACGGGATTGGGAATTAGGGAAATTGAGGAGGGGACAAATTGGGTTCCCGATGAGGTCACCGTTGTTTCACGGCGATATTCTGTACGGCCGGTATAACTTCCGCGTTAGGGAAGGCAAGAGAGTGTCCAACTCTTACTGACTAAAAACCAAGCCCTCTGAGCTGCTGCTTCAAACTGAAACTCTATTCACACCTCTTCTGTACCTATATCTACTTTTATTTTACTGATCTTCACTCCCCTCCCCCTCTCATACAGGAGCGCAACTCGTCGACCCTGTTACTGAGCGCACTGGTGCAGCGAGTGTTTGGAGTGCAGCGGACCTGTATGACGGGACGGATCTTCTTCCTGCGCTACCCACAGGTCTACGACTTCATGCTGGTACGTATTACAATCAAATAATTATTGATCGACTTCAAACGACGCACCATGTTATATAAGGATCGCAAATCTCGTCACCCAAATACTTTGGCACAGACACTAATGGACAAACACAAGGCAGTGCGTCGATTAAAGCGTAAAATACCACAAGATGATCCAACCTCGGTAATTTAAATGTATTTATGAAGAGGATGTGACACAGGTCACATGCCGAAAACACTAACTACAGTAACGTCCAACATACTGCTGTATGACCCAAAGAAGGCGACAGATGGAGGGCGCGATGGGGACGAAGATGAGGGTTCTTAGTTTGACCTATAAGAATGTGTTTTTATCCGCGGTTATCTCGCAATTGGTTGAACTGATTCTGATTCGGTTTTAAAATCGTATTCGTTACATTTAGGAGTAGGTTTTTGTATATTAATAACAGAATTTATTGTAAACGATTCCAAAAAAATAGATTGTAGTTTGTTTTTTAAACATAGGTTAATGATATATTATTCTAGAAATAGATTATAAAGTTTTACACTAAATCAATGAAACTATTTGACTGGCATTGCAGGAGAAGCTCCAGGAAGTGTCTAGTGAAGAGTCCAGTACAGTGCTGCGCCCCTCCCTGTACCCGGTACTACTCCTGCTGGCCAGGCTCTACCCTTCCTCGCTAGAGGGAACTGTCTCCAACCTCAAGGTAACTCTGTCACTCATAGGCACAAATACACCGAGCACACAGGATGAGTAATGGGGGGTACCGTTGTTTTGTTCACCATACGGCGGAAATGTAGCAAGAGTTGCGGTAGCTATCTAATATTGAATAGTTAAATTCCTATTGGCGCCACCGGGTGAGCAAAAATACGGTACCCCCACTTACCACTGAGTGTAATGTATGAAACTGTACGTTGACGCGTATATCCACTATGCAAGCTGTGTGTCCCCTATAATTCCTGAGAGGACACCGGTATTTCATCTACTCCATTATAGACTTTATTTCCTATGTTGAGAGACTAGTTTTGTACAATAAAGTTTGGTTATTAAACATGAACAAGTTTTTGATAGGATTTCTTATATTTCCAACATAGTGCACGTCACGTCTACGCTTACACGTACGCATCCAATCTGCTCATAATTAATAAAAAAATATGTTTATTGACAAAAAGCTTCCAAATGGCCCTGGAACCCATATTAGGATTCCTTGTGTCGTGAAGTCCAGTCTCAGCCAGCAAAACATAACAAAACAAAAGAAAAACAAGATGAAAAGAAAAAAAATAAATGAAAATAAAATCAATTTTACTGTTTAATAATAATTATCAAAGTGTGTCTATGTATATGTTTATGTATGTGGTGTGTGTGCATAACCTTATTACTAGAGTAGTTTAGATTTAATAACCAAATTATAGTTGTTGTTGTACATAAGTCCAAATCAACAAAATAGAAATCGAAAATATAAGATCAACATTTACAAAATTGTCAATTTTCAACATTCCCGGAAAGCTTCCGAGATAACCGGGTATTATCACCATTTATTTCTGCCATAATGATTGAACTATGCCATGAAGTCGTGAACATTACATAAAATATGGACACAAAAAGTCCCTATCTACTTGAAACCTTTTTGAAACTACATGCCATTTTTGTTTTATTACAACGTATACCCTAAAAATAAGGTTTCTTTACTTCTGTCTCATGCATGAGTATATATATAGTGAATAGACTATAGCAGCAGTATACAGGGTGACTTGTAACTCTACGTATTACTCTCGGGAGATGATAATACAACTAATTACCTACAAAATTAGCTCTGAGGACTCTGGTCCGACAGTGACAAATTTCTGAAATATTCAACATTTTCGGTTTTGGTGAAAAAATGTCGATCGAACTACAAAAACATTAATAAATAATGAAATGTGATTTTAGTTTTAATTTGTTTTCAATACACCAATAAACATTTGTTAATACCAATACTGGCAGAAATATCACTTGTTTTAAAATAGCAAGTAAATTAGTATCAAATTTTGTTTTGATTCACTAATTTGGTCTAGAAAACTGCATTTAGCTTAAAAAATTGATATTACACTAAGCGTACAAAATATTAGAAAAACTTCCTTGGTTCATTAGCTACCCATAAATATTAAATAATTTATAATATTCTCAAAATTGAATTCATAACTTGATGGTAAGGTAAGTGTAAAGGGAAAAGGGCAATTTCAAAAACATTATTATTTTCAAAATTTGGTTCTTAGTGACCTTTCCTATGATGAATACATGCCCGCACACGCTTCCCTGTCTCTGTCGCAGTCACTCTTGAAATGAATGTGCGTCTTATTTCTTCAGCCGCTTCAATTATAAGTTGTATATGATCCAACCTTTCTTAGGCGAATTATAGACGGATGAGACCATTCGACCAGGATTTTATTACAAACTATCTATAATTTTGTAGGAAATTAGTTGTATTATCACCTCCCGAGAGGAATACGTCGAGTTACAAGTCACCCTGTATACGTACGTACAAATAATGTTGGTGTATGGGGTGTAGTTGGTGGCGTTCGTCCCGCACGTGATGTCGTGCGCCAGTAGCGCGGTGCTCAAGACGCGCCAGCTGGCCGCCAAGGCCATCGTGCCGCTCATCTCGCCCGAGATGTAAGTATTCACCCTACATACACTTTTTCGGATTTCGATAAATTCTCAATTACAGAACAACGGCTAAAATAAGGCCTACCTTATTTCTACTTTAGGGTTGATGCCGATTCGGAGTCGCGGAGAACCTAACGGGTTACCGGGGCTCCGGCTCGATGTGCAGGAGAAGGAACGGGGTGGTTTTTAGTCAGTAAGAGTCTGACACTCCCTCTCGCCTCACCCAGGCGGGAGAAGCCATTCGATGATTTTCCCCCCTTAAAAAAACCTTTTTCCACTTACCAGATGGCGCTATTGTATTCTTCGTCCAATAGAAAATTAGCTAGCGTGACACCATTGACCGTTCAATATTTGACAGCTGCAGTGATTGGATTGGAAAAACAAAGATTTTCTTGTAATAACTATCATGAGACATACTAAATTAGCTTTTCTCAGTATTTTCACGTGAGTAGCCCACGATTCTTAGTTAAAAAACCTTTCCTACATTTACGGCATCTATTGTAACCGGTGTGTGACAATAGGTTCTCTTTTACACGTGGGTGAGCCCTTATTTTGGCATGAATGAACCGGCTGCAATGGAATGTTACCACGATCTCATAATAAACTGACCTAAACGAGGTTAGCGCAAGATCAACCCCCCCCCCCCTACTCCTCTTTCCAAAGGCTAACAACTCACTTGTTCACTCAATTCCTCTGCTATTGCGGTTTTCAAATCTAGGAACGGTACTGATCACTTACTAAATGATCTGTCTACTCGTTTGCCTCCTATCACACAAAAACATGTATGATGGAGATGAATTTATTGTAAAATTGTCTCCAACGATAACCAACTTGTCAGGTACATCCCGCACATAGAGTCCACACTGCAGCTGGTGCAGCACGCGCACACGAGGGCCAACCACCGCCACGGACTACTGCTGCAGCTCGGCCGCCTGCTGCAGGCCGGGGCCCGCGCCGGGGGCCTGCCCGCCTGGCACTGGGGCCCGCACGTGCGGCCCGCGCTGCGCCACCTGCGGGGGCCCTGCTACCCTGTCGCCGACGAGCTCGTCAAACTCATCAACTTGCTCGTCTTGAGGTAAGCACTCAGGATATTTATTTTTAAGTCATGTCCATTTCATAGATTCATTCTCTATGATAACATTCCAAATAAATGTAATAAGGGACATACTATGTTTATAGGTATAGAAATAAAAATATTACGAAGTTAAAACGTTAAAACATGTAATCGTCCAGACACGTCTTATAAATATTAGTTAAAAAAGCATTAATAATTAATAAAATTAATAATAAAAGAGATACAAAAATACGTCGCTTGGTAACATTATTACTTGTGAGAAGATTCCAAAGCCTGTAACACCTTCTGTATTTTCAATTCAAGATCTTCTATTTTCCGTTCATTTCTTGATAGTTGACTTTTAATTTCGTCAAATTCGGTAATATGCGTTTTCTTACTCACAACCAGTTTTGTGTTCTTTACTATTTTTGGATCCAGTCTGTAATTCTGACAGCGTTCAAAGCAGCACCCTCCCGCGCCGCCTTCAATATCCTCATAATCGTCGCCATATTTCAGCGGCTCAGCGTGAGGAATCTCGATCTTGTTGTCCTGGTTCGGTTTCACAATTATCCTATATTTTGGTAAAAAGTGCGGGAACAAACTGATTCGTTTAGCGAAAGGTTTCATGCAAAACATTTTAGGCTTTATGATGTTTAGATTTTCGAAACTAGCCGGCATCCACGACCAGCACGTGCTGGGCTTGCCGTATGAGTTAGCATTACCAATGAGTACGCTCTCAAAGTACGATATTAGTTTGACTTGAGAAATGTGTCCCACTAGTTCTGCGTCAGCTCTGATTTCTTGAGTATCGCTTACAGCCAAACCGTTGAGTAAATTAAATAATACAATTGGAATCATAAACACAAATACAATAAATATAAAGTGACTCGTTACTGGGAATGTACTGAATTTAATAGATCCGGCGTCGAATTCTCCCGTCAACATGACTATCGTCTTAAATAACGACCTGCCTGGGTCCTCGAAGAAATCCTCTTCTTCCTCCTCTTTTCCTGTACTATTTGGATTCGGTGCTTTCTGGTCCTCGTCATCCTGTTCATGTCGGAATAATGTATAAAAGCTCAAAGCAAATGCTATTATTAAGATACAATACCAGAGCAGAAATTTAAAGAAATTCCATGAGACTGTTTTTAACATAACAATATTTGTTGATAGAGTAGGGAAGTGACCAATGAGCAGAACTAGTTCAGCGGATGATAGTAATATAGCCACCGAGGACAATTGTTGCTTAGTAGACTCTGCCGCCGAGTCGTTCCCTACTACAAGTGCGGTCACAAATATCAGTACTATTTCCATCCAATTCTCAAAACTTCGTAAATATCGTGTCGGCGCTACAAGTAATTGGAACAGCTCTCGAAATATTAAGACGATCAAACCTATTACGGCCCCAATATGAGTGATCACATTTAACGCTTCTATCAATTTCGATTGCTTCTTCTCTACCCCGTACCCCAACATAATGTACAGAATCAAGCACAACGAAAAAAGTGAATAGAAAGTTATATTAGCGTAGAACAGGCAACTTATTCTTTGCCATTTCAGATATAAGAAACTGGTAATAACTGGATGTTTGAGTAGTGGGCGCAGATCTTCGTTTGTTGTCATATACAGTAAAGCATCCGTTTCTGGCGCTAGGAAAGAATCCAACTCTTTTTCGTTAGTGCTGGAATTATCCATTAGAGGCATCTTGCAAAGCTCGTTTTCCAACGAATTGTTGGGATAAACAAGGAAACTGTATTTCATATGTATCTCATAGTCGTCGTCACTTGCTCGTTGGTTATTAGTCGTAACACATTCATCCAAATATGCCTCTAATGTTTTAGCGTTAATATCTGCCAAGGGTGGTTCATTGAATTTGTTCCGTAAGCCCACACAGGCTCCGTTTCTCAGTAACTCTAGAACTGTATCTTGGTCACCGTTCCTAGCAGCGTAGTGCAGTGCTGTGTTGTATTTTATATCGGAATGATTTACGTTTATGTTTACTTTGGGGTGTTTTAATAATAGTTGTAAACAATCATTGAAGCTTTCTTTTGGTGCCTTGGAAAACGATCGCATACCTTTCACAGTTATTTGTACAAGGGATTCTCCATTTACAGGATCGAATAAAGTTGATTCGTTGTCGACAAACATTTTAAGGATTTTATAGTGACCATGTTGGCAAGCTATTCCTATAGGTCTAGTGGTGTTACAGGAACATGTAGCGTTTGGGTCTGCTCCAGAGAGGAGCAGAGTCTTAACTGCTCTATACATCCCCGATTTAGTAGCCAACTGCAACATTGTGCCACTCCCGTTGTTAGCAGCCAATGCTGTGCGATGCTCATTTTTCTTAACTAGTTTCGTAAAGTCACGGATAAAATTATCTTCTTCTTCTCTGCTTATATACGAAAATAATTTATCGACATTAATTTCTTCTGGTTCTACTTCCTGATTGTCAAACTTCGCCAGCAAATGTGGAAATGCTTGTTCGAGATAATAACGTGCCGTTCTTCCTCTTATATCCTTGTATGAGTCTAAGTAAACAGGTTCCTTAGAATAGTCTAATATCAAAGTAACAACTCGTTCCAGACCTTGTTTAGCAGCAGAATGCACCGGAGTTACGCCCTTAGAATCGGGGCTATTAGCATTGGCACCCGCCTTCAACAGCAACTCAACCATGTCTTCATAGATAGCTAAATCTCGTTCTCGGTCGTCATCCAGTTCCTCAATATTCTTGATGGCCATTAATAAAGCCGTGTTACCTTTGCTTTTAATATTCACATCGATCCTGTCATCTTCTAGTAGTAGCCGCAATGCTTCGATGTTTGCATTTTCAACTGCAAAATGTATTGGAGCCATAGCGTGATCTTCATTAACTTTATTAACTTGTACTTCATGTTGCAGTAAAAGCTTAACAAAATCTTGTTTGTTCTTTTCGGATACTGCTATCTCCAGACATGTTTTGTAATCCGGCTGTTGATACACATACTCGAGATCCACTGTGCCGTAGCTGACGAGTTTTTTAAAGCTTGCAAAATCATTGGTCAACAGAGCCGTCCTCAATTGTACTTGCGGATCCGAACCGAAGAGGGAACTGCCCCGTGACAGCTTCGGCCTCATCTCGTACGTGTCCCTCGTCATTGCGCTCGCAACTCTGGCATCTGAAACGTAAAATGATTGTTTTTATTAGTGATCACTGATCACAAATGCTACCAATTTTCTCATTGAAGTAAATTGTTATGAAACTCGTGTGTAGTACTCCAAAACTAGTAGTTAAGGGCAATTGTTTAATTGAAATGTATCGGCAGTGGAACATCTGGCGGACTTTCATGTACTCATATCCTATAAAGCTTTCCAAACACGGCGAAGTGTAAATGAATCAAGATACGTTTAAATCGCGTGTTTATTTGATTAACCATGCTAAATGCTCCGACAAACTCTTTTGTGAAAACGTGATAATCGTTACTCCGCATGTTCCGTTAACTATAAACGTATAAATCAATCTATGAAGTTAATTGTTAGTCGTGACCTATTTTTAGAATGCACGTCGAACGATGCGATGGTTACTAAGTTAATATATTTACTACAAAATAATTACTGACAACTTTTGTTCCTACTTTTTGACCGAACGGTTAGCGTACCTAGTGATTGTTGGGTAATTGGTCGCTAGTTTAATTTCCGAACGTTGCTATTTTTATGTGAACCACAAATTGTTGTTCCCGTTCTGGGTGTGATGTGTTTTTAAATATACTAATAGCATCCCCGGTACGCATCCCACAACTAGAACGGTAGTGAGTTGCCTGTCATAGTTTTAAATGAGCTACTTTACAGCGCATGCAGTCGTGTTTACCTAACTGGCAATCGTAATGAAAGGGCAATTATTCCAAATTTCTCTCACAACCATAAAATTAATGCTGCGCGCGTGCGCCATGCTCGTGCTCCACCATCCAGTAATTGGATTGATTTGCGCTGTCTATTATGTTATACTTAATTGTAAAACACCATCATAGTTGTTCTAAAAAGCACTTTATGAGTAAGGCGCAGGCGGCAATTTTGAAAGCACATGCTCGAGTGATGTAAAGTTCCCAATTTGTGAATTTTATTGCTGTACAATTGTTTGAAGTTTGAACACAGTACTTTGTATGCTCTGTTGTTTAACAATTTGCATACTGAGTACCCGCACGTTAGCTTATTTATTCGTCTTATACACACACTATTGATAGCGATGTTTGTGTTTCGTGAATCGTACATTTTTATTGAGAACTTAATCCGACCGCCATTTTTCTATTTAATGTATAAATCGTGACAAAGAGATACGAAGAGACACTAAGTAACCTCTGTATTTGTTATGCTTGTCTCACTGCTTAAGACAATATTTGTCTTCAGATTTGTTCTGAATACACCATGACTAAAGCCCGCCTTGGGCATTGCTCATATTATAATCCTATTAGGGGCTATCGCTTCTGTATGCCTACATTAAAACTGTATACATAAGTATATAATTGTATGTAATATGCATTCCGAAGCAGTACCATAGCACAATAATAAACAATGTAGGTAAATATAATGTTATATGTTATTACTTTCAAGCTTTGTATTTGTAGTAAAATGGCCAAACGGTTACGCGGAACGTAAACTCTTTAGTGTAACAATACACATTTAATTTTATGAATATCTTGCTGTATGCAGTGTAGGCCTATGTATTCTAAGCAACGAGTTTTTTGTAACGGAATAATTTCGTTCAGTACACGTCTAAAATAAAGATGAAACTAACAAAGCGTATTCGGCAAACAATAGCTGTGTGCGTCCATCGGAACAACTATCGCTATGAGATAGTCCACATATTCGTGGCTATATTGTACCACATACAGCACTGTACGATATATCACGCGTCGCTCCGGGCACACGCGGTTTGCTATTGTGTTCCACATCGGGATCACCTGTTCATGAGGCGAATAGCCGATGGCTCAGTGCGCTATTGATTGATCGACAAATGTGCCCGGCCTGTAGTTCGTTACACAATTTTGTTTAGAATATGTTAAAACATTAATCTATTTTCGTTTCATCTTTAACATTTTATGTTTGCAACGGTAGTCGGACATTGCGAATTGCGACGCGAGAATGAATAAATAGAAAAGTATGTGATAGTAAAGATGATAACACGGGATTAACATCTTGATAAGTTCGTGTACTAACGTAATCCGTGATCTCTATTTGAGATAATAATCTGGCAGATCGAAAGCGAGGTCTCCAGTACAGGCCATTATTTTTCTATTCAGAATAAGGCGATTGGTGAAACGATAGGGTCGGCGAAATACGATTGACTATCTTGATTATGGACATGAATTCCTCGAAATCGTCTTCAGGCAGTTCGGGCGAGTCAGCCCTGACCTCTAGATTCAAAATAACAATCGTGCCCTTTGCATCTATTTGTCAAAACACAAGTACACCCTTCCAAAAACCTTGGCATTTATCGTTTATGAAAATCAAAAATAGCCGTGGGCGTGTCCCCTGACACCAAGTACCAGTGACCTTTCTTATTGTTTAAACTTTAATTGCGTTTCACTTGCACTCTACATTTAACATTACGAAATCAAATAGAATAGTGAATAGACCCCCAGTGTAAATTGAGGTCCTAGATTGTTAACCATTTCTGTACACCTAATAATAATGAAATAATTACCAGTACCAATGGGTCTAGAAATAATGGTTCTGTGTTAATAGTCTCGTTGCTTCATGATATTTATATCTTATGTTAATTAAGTAGCTATTATTTATTTTTGTTTAAATTGTTTTGAATTTATATTTGTAAATAATTGCTGTTCTGACTTCTTAGTCAACCGCAGTATTCGATTACCGAAATAGGTAGCGTGCTCATATTGTGGTTTTAGTTCTCTATATTTCTATTTATTTATTAATAAGGCATTATTTAAATATTTATAAGACTAAATGTTATTTATAGTTAATAAAGTATTTAGAATAAAATAAAACTAATGTGTTACTTCTTAAAATGAAGAAACGACATTTATTATATTCTTCCATAAATTCTTTAACACAAAATTCTCATAATATTGACGTTTGAACAGGGGCGTAGCTAGCGCCGTATCTACCGTATCAATTATACGGGGCCCCCAAACTACGGGGGGCCAAAACATGCGTAAGTAAAAATTAATAAAAACTTCCCAATGTTTGATTTTATTTCAGTAATTAAACAAGTCAAACTAAACAATAAACAAATAAACCTAAAGCATGCGTTCAAAAGTTGACATAAACTTTAGAAAAACTAAGTAATCATAGGCCAATAATATGTGCAGAAGAAGTTATCTGGAATGCTTTCTGGTTTTCATAAAAATTTCATTTACGCAAAAAATCTTTTATGAGAAAGCTTTACCTTTCAGAGGGACCCCTAAACAATATTTTATACGGGGCCCCGCCAAGGCCCGCTACGCCACTGCGTTTGAACAAACCACAGACTATTTGACAATAGTAATCAATTCAAAATTAAAGAAAACCCTTTTTCTTTACATATTTATTAATTTTGTAGTCAGGATTAAATCACGATTATTTATGACAATGACTTTAGTGTACCATGCGTCATTATTAGTACAAAACTACTATGGAACTAACTAGAGAATTGTATTGTGAACCTGATTGAAAAAGAGTATGGAGTTTCTTGCTCGTTCTTCTACATAGGAATGTACACATTGGATTGAGCAAATAGGTTCACTTTTATTTTTTTTACGGTAAGTGCCTCCCTGGTCTTTATTTGATTTTGACTTTGATAAATTGGTCACTAAAATTAAACCTAGTGAATCAGATGAATATAGTCACCATATTATTGTATTCGTGAACAGGAAGAAGCTTAATCTTAACATTAAATTGGTTAGTAAGTACAAGGCTACTCATTTCCTGTCTATTAATTAATAGATGTAACACGGTCGCCAAGTGGGCTACCTAGTTGTACGATTTATTAAAATTTTAAAGGAAATAATAGTTTAATATTACTCAAGTAAGCACTCACTACCCATGTACGTATAGGTATGAATTATCACTTCTATATTTGTAAGACTTGAGTCAGATTGTACGTCAATAACAAATAACTCACATTTATGTATCAGTAACCCCCATCGGATGGTTTGCATATGGAGATTGGAGATTATTTGTGTTAAATGTCTGAGTGATTCTTGTGCTAATGTAAGCGGTCTGTTGAGGTCATATAGCGACGTATATCGTTCCATTTCAATTGTATTCTTTTGTGTTTGGTTTCTATTCGCTTAAATTTTATGAGAAGACAGAGCCAAATTACCCCTAAGGCAAATAGAGTAGTGGCGTCAAAAAAATTGGCGCCTATTAGGTCCTCGCCTAGGGCACCTTTTAGGCTCAATCCACCTCTGTAAGAAAGCGTAATACAAGCTGATATGTTCGTTAAGTTTGCCGACGCTACCGGTTTGCAGTCGTCCGCGTCGGTATGCCTAACGAGAAACAGAGTTTTCCCACGATTGAATCCAAAGAAATGTTTGATGATTAATTATATTTATATGTTGGTTTGTTTACAACGTGATCAACATTTTATTATCTAACATGCATGTGTAACGGGTCCGTGTCACTATGCAGGTTTTAAAGTCAAATACAAATTGTAGACGAAATCTGACATAATTACGTCTACCGAATAGTTAAACTTTTATCTCATTAGAGCGGCAAAAGTAGTTGATACAAAATGCCCAACACGTCAACAAAGAGTTATTCTAACGTATAAAAAGTTCCCTCTAATGGTACTGACAATTAGGCGTATCCGTTGTTTCTCAATGATATCGGTTTAGTTATACGCTTTATCTGCACGCTACCGTTGTACGGTGGCCAGTGGTCCAGTGGCAGCCAGCCGACAGCGCTCCGGTCTAATTGCTGGACACGCCTTTATACAATAAGTAGAAATTACTGTTTTATTCAAAATCTTGTGGATAGAGACCGCGCTACGTTATACGTTAAGAATTGTTTTTCTTAATATTTATTAAAAAATCTTGTAGGTACCTATTCCTACGAATTGAATAATAAGTTTTCATTTCCTTTTCTAGATCAAGGGCCGATTTTTCCAACGCCATAATTTGATTAGAGGATTTTAA